AAGAAAACAAACCCCAAACATACCAAAAAACCACAACCAAAAAGCTCGACAACACGTCAGTCCACCTAGCGAACATCCAGTGAGGTAGATCTACGCTTCCAATACGAACTTCATCACGTCTTTGTGCTGTTAGAAAAAAAAACCCTCCTCTCTGTCCAGCACTGGGCTACAGAGGCATTTTATCCCTGAGATTGCTCGAATACCTGAGAATAAGTTACAGGAATTACGTCCTTTCTCTCTCTCTCTCTCTTTTTTTTTTTTCCCCTTAAAGATTAAAATATACAAAAATACAAACCCAGAATATTTATATTAAAAAAAAAAAAAATCAAAAACCAAAAATGAAACCAAAAAACAAGCCAAAACAAAGACGACAAACAAACCCAGAGATACGTCATTCACGCACGTCCTAGTGCAGGTTTCACTTGGCCTTGGCTCCGGCACGGACGGGGAGGCTGCCCCGGGAGAAGGGCTGTCCACCGGGGCCAATAAATAACGGCAAGACTCGAGGGGCCGGTGGGGAGGGAGGACAGCAGCCGCTAATGACCTGGGACACCCGTTTCCTCTGTCCCTGGGAAGGCTCAGCCCAGGAGCCATCGGTTTCTGGAGCGTGGGATGGGTAGAAGGAGCAGAGGCTGGGTTTTGTTCTGCGTGGCTTCGGTGCAGAGCCCGGGGGGTCCGCCCTGTGCGGGGGGGGAGCCATGGCTGGATCTGTGTGAGCCCCGGGTGGGCTGGGTACACAGCTTCCGAAGGAAACAGTGCCAGCAACATCCCCGGGAGCCGAGTCTGCCCCATGTCCGGCGCACAAGGCTTAACAAAGAGCATTTCTGCTCTGTGAAGCTCTCCCATTCCCCAGCTCCGCATTTCGGAGGCGGGAAGAAGCCTTAGAGGGGCAGAGCTGGCTGCTTAAAACACCCTGCGTTCTCTGGGCTGGTGCTTGGGAAGGCTTAGGGGGGAAAAAAAAAGTGTTTTTCTTTTGACCTGATCTCCCCCAAGCCCATGAGCAGGCAGTGAGCATTAGCCCAGCCACGAGAGATGCCCCGATTCCTTCCAGACTGAGCCCAAATCTGGGCTCTGCTGGTTTCAGCAATGGGGCGACCACAGAAAAACTGCAAATTCTCGCACTCACCTGCGTGTAAGCCACGAGGAGCAGAGGGACCCGTGGGGCCGGCCCACGGGCATCTCCCCAGCGCTCTGCTGCCAGCCTTCCCCCCTCGCCCTCCCTCCTGGGGCAGGGAGGGACGGGGCAGGGTCCCCCACTGCTCACCCAGGCTGTGCCAGAGCCTGTTTAAAGCTCAGGAGAACAAGGAGCCATGAGCTCCTCCAGAAGATGTTGCTTTTCTGCTCCTCCTCCCAGAGACTCCACCGCCTGGCTTCGTTTAGGAAAAGAATAAAAATGAACCAAATATGTGGGCTTTTTTCAGCTGGAAGTGGTGCGTTGGGTGCTGCCTCCCCCTATTTTTGAAACGAGCCATCCCAATTAAAGCAGGGCTTTCCCTGGGAAGAAAGGTCCGTGCAGGGACACCGGGTCCCCGCCGTTAGCGCTGCCGTCTTCCCTCCCCAGCCCTCACCCTGCCCGCCCTCCTCCGAGCCCCCGCAGCTGCCCGTTGCCTTGCCAAAGCCTTTTCATCCCGGTGGAAGCCCCCCCTCCCCGCCACCCGCCATCATTCCCGGGTTTCGGGGAGGAGGGCTGAGCTGTGCATATCTTCCTCCTCTCGGAAGTAGGCAGGTTTTCCCTGGGAGCTGGGGGACTGCTGCGCTTTCGCGGGGCAGTTGGCGACCATGTGGCTGATGCTCTGGCAGAAGTGGCATTTCTTGGGCTGCGGCGGGAGCTTCCACTCTTTGGCTTGTTGGTCCAGCCCGCCGCAGTTGTAGCATCTGCGGGGAGGAGCAGGAAAAGATTCGAGGAAGAGAAACAAAATGAGGTGGGGCGCTGCCACGGCCGTGCCCGGGACCCATCTGGCTTCGCAGAATGGGCTTGAAATGGCCCAGCCGCTGTGGGGATGTGGGGTTGGCTCTCTGGGAGCACTGGGTTTGGTCCCCAGGGAGCTCCAGCTCCAGCACGACCAGTTTGGACCCGGCTCAGTGGTGCTGTACCCAGGAGATGGCAGCAAACTCCTGCATCGAAGGACAAAAAAATCGGGGATATCGGGGACTTCCACCCCTCTGGCTCCATCACGGTTCTCACTCCTTTGTCTGCACCCAGTGTCACACACGGACCGACAGCCTGCGGCAGAGTGGGAACAGGCAACGGGATGACTGACAGCCCCAGGCAGGAGAACAGTTGCAGGGACCGTGGCCACCGGTGCGGGGACAGCCCCAAAGGTGGTTTCTCTCACGGCTGTGCCCTTGTAGAGCTCGTCCCCCGGGTGCCACCTTCGCACCCGAGCGGTGCGGGCAGAGGGACCTGCCTTGTGTCCGTTGTAAATCCTGCATCGGTTTAGGATGGCCACGACCCTTTACTCTTTCCTTTTCCTCTCCAGCTCCTTTCCAACGAATTTGAAAAGCCGCTTGTGAGAACAGGCGGCGGGGAGGCCCCCAGCCACTGGGAAAGCCCGAGTGAGGCATCCCGGAGCAACCGGGATGGAGAGGAGAGGGGGGACGAAGGGCTGGCCAGAAACTCGCCCCGAGGCTCCCAGCCTCACCGTGGGAGATGCTGCCAGGACGTCCGGCCATTTCCTTCCCACAAGGAAGGGTTTCTCCTCGAGAAAATTACCCCTGCCCAGCGCGGCTCCCCCAGACGAGGGGAGCGGCCGCCCGGGGTGTCCCTGACCTCTGCCCCTTCGCTGCTGCTTTGCTGCCCTTTGCCCACCAAACTGCATCTGCCACTCATTAACCGCCGAAGGAAGCCACTTTCCCAGAGAAAGGGTCGCTGCCTGCCCTGCCGGACCCGAGCCCATCCCCATGCTGCGGGCAGCGTGCCGGGCACCTCCTGGTACCCACAGATCCCTGCCCCGGATCAGGCCCCGGCTGCCCCTTACCGATCTCCTTTTGATCTGCGTTTCTGGAGGCTCTTGCCCTTGGGTCTCCTCTCGCTGCCGATGCAGAAGACGCCTCCCGGGCCGGTCACCCGGATGGACTCCAAACCTTTGGATGACTTCTTGAAGGTGAACTCAACAGCTTCGCCCTCCTTCAGGCTGCGGAAACCCTCCATGTGGAGCTTGCTCTGGGGGAAACACGGGGAAAGGACGGGGGTCAGCACCGAGCCGGGGCGCATGCTGGGCACACGACAAGCCCCAGCCTAGCAAACACCTCCCATGGCATGAGAGCTGCCCAAGTCCCCTGTACCTGCCCCTGGTGAGGGGACAGATATCGGGGACCAAGCTCAACCAGGCACCTTCATCTCCCCAAAATCTCTGGAGCCCCGTTTGATAACACAGAGCCTTCAGTGAGCTGAGACACCAGTCAAGTAGGGCTCGCTCATTTGGCAAGTGAGGGCTGGCAGAGCCAGCTCTGACCCGAATTTCAACAATATTTGCTACAAAACAGCCCCTTTCTCCCACTGACACCCTGGGCTGAGGAGCAAGAGCTGCCCCTGCACCTCCCATCGCCACCCTGGGCTCGGAACACTCGCAGGGAGACCCAAACCACCATTTTAAAAAGACAAAGGGATCTTGAGGCTCTGCACAGGCACGAGCAGCCCCACTCAGGGCAGGACCTGCAGCAAGGCCAGGAGCCCCATCACTGCAGCTCACCTCAGTTCAAGCCCTTTAATCGCCTCCAATAATTAATTAAACAGCTGTTTGGCCCTGGATCGTTACTGCTGGAAGCATCTCCCGTTCCTCCCAGGATCACATCGGCCATCACCGTGCAACCAAAATCAGGAGTTCAGAAAGACCCAGGCTGGGGAGGGGGGTTGTGAGATGATAGAAAAATCCACTCCACTTTCCTGAGCTCTGTTCATTTTAGCAGAACAAATTCCTAAGGAGCCGAGCTGGGCGATGCCGCCGGCACCTCTTGCCCCGCTGTGCCAGCGAGCACAGCCGTGAGCATCGCCGCCTGCTCTGCCCGAGGATCACCGCATCCCGGACAGCCATTTGAGCAGGACTTTGGCTCCACTTCGTTAGCGGAGCCCAAACGAGCATGAGCAAAGAGTTAAGGGGGATTCGGTGGCAGAGGGAGGAGCAGCTCCGGCAGCCGGGCTGGGGATTCCCGGCAGAGCCGGCGCCAATGCCTGCGCGGCTGGAGCAGGACCCGCATTTATGAATGGAGCATCTCCCCCATTCATGTGCTGGCGAGTTCCCGTCACGTGGGCTGCGGTCGCCCATTCTTCCCGCACTGAGCCTCTGCAGGCATGGCCAGTTCCCCCTCTTCCACCCCAAATTTCACCAGGACCCACGTGGAAACATCCCGCATAAAAGCAGAGAGGGATGAAACGGAGTTGGTGGGTGTTAGGAGTGATATTTTTGCGGCGGGTCTTGCAGGATGTGGCTGCGTCCGTGGGCACTCGAGGGAAGTGGGAACGCAGCAGAGCTCAAGGAAGAACCCTTGAGGCCCCTTTTTCTGCTGCTTTTCCCCAGCTTCCATGCCCTGGGGCCCAGCTCTGGGTGGGACAGACCCCATGGGCTGGGCCAAGCCACCCACACCCACCCAGTCCGTTTGCCTGCTGGGATGGGGTCCAGGGTGGGCCAGATGGGACCATCAGAAACCTTTGCTCTCTGACCAGTTCTGGCTCCCGAAACGTAGAACCAAACCACAAGCTACGAGGTCCCCAATGAGAACAAGGACGCGACAGCATCTCACGGCAACCTCTGGGCACCCGGGGCTGGTCTGGGCAGTCCCATCACCACCTACTGCTGGCAAACACCCCGTCACGCTCAACGCGATGGCCGGGTGCTGCTCCCCAACCCCAACTTGGCTTTCCCCCGGTGCTGAGCATCACCCAAGCAGGAGCTGTGGGTCCAAAACAGCTGCCAGCACAACACAGGTTTGGCCACCGGCCCTGCGCTGTCCCC